CTTTGCAGGTTGGCCAGCAGGTGTTGTCCTCGGGAGCCTTCATTCAGCCCGGGGCTCTGATCACACGGTCTCTCACTGGTCACCTTTACTAGGTCCTGCTTCAAGGCCGGGCCTGCTTTACCGGTGGCCAGGGTGGAGGTCCGGGCGGTCTCCAGGCTGCTGAGCATTGGGCAAACCCAGCCCCTCTCTCCACTCCAGTCTGCCCAACTCGCAGCTGTGAGAGCCTGGGCAAGGTGGGTGACCTCTCTGGACCTCAGTCTCCTCCTCTGTAAAGTGGGGATAAGATTGATTTATCCAGTGAGAAGTTAATGAGTGCTCATAGAGGAAATGATAGGAGGACTAAACGAATCCATATAAACTGGGACAGAGCTCGGCACATGGTCAGTGCTATGTAAATGCTAACGATTATTACCGTTATTATTAATAGTGGGTGCTCTCGGCACAAACATGCAACGTTCCTGTACTTGCAGGAGAGGAATTGTGTCAATATCTGCTCTCTGGTTATTTCAGACTCGTGAACTTGTTGATATTCGTTCTCCTGCCACCTTCTCACAAGGTGACCGATTCTTCTCACGTGGATTCTTGTAGGGAGAGGGTGGCCATTCAGGACCGTTGCCCAGTGCCAGAGCCGGGGAGGAGTCCTTGTTGCCCCTTCCCGGGGGGAATTGAGAGAGATTCATTCGTCTTCATTGAGTAAGGGCCAGAGGGACTTTCCAGAGTTCAGCTTGCCTCGAGGTTTCAGAAGAGAGCTATTTTAGTCCATCTGAGGACATGGGGTGACATCAGCTCAGTCAGCCGGGAGTCAGGGCAGGTCCCTGGAGGTCCTGCTTTAATGGACAGATAAGACCAGCCTCCAAAGAGCAGGAAAATGCCTGTGTCCTCTTCCTGGACACGGGCAGGTCTTTGGAAGTTCACTCCTTTGGGAAAACCCTTTCTTCAGTGGGCAGTGGGCCACAAACTGTCCCCTGCACGTCAAGGACACTCAGCTCCAAAGTGTCTCACTTTGTGAGCCACTTCTCCAGGCTAAGCCCACCTCCTCCACAAACAGGAAGCTAGGCTGACAACATCCGAGGGCTCCCTTCCCTCCGCTCTCTTCATGGAGCGAGAACACCACGTGTCCCCTATTATTTAATCTCCCACACCCCGTGAGCTCTGATCAACCCCATTTAACGGAGGGAAAAACTCAGGTCCAGAAAGGTGAAGTCACTTAGGACCGAGCAGGGAGGAAGGGGGCGCAGCCGTGACCGGAACCCAGGTCTGTCTGGGAGCACAGTTCACCTGCTTGACCACCACTCTGCTAAACGAAGCTTGGGAGTCCTCCCGGCCATGCTACACAGACTAATTCAAAATCGGGGACACAAGGAAAAGCCACCACAGAGCAAAGGCTCTTTGCTTTTTG